ATATATGACATTAGCACTAAATGCATTGAAAAAAGGAAGAAAATTGACAAATTGTTTCTATTTGATATTTATTGATCTTCATGACATAGAAGGGGGTACCTTTGTACTTTTTATTCATAGCCTGTTTGCACAGGCTATAAATGTGAAAAATGCAATTTCACCCACTAGAAAATCAAGCAAATTTGAAAATGTTATAAAAGTGTAAGTAAATACCAAAGGGCCCCTATGAAAGTGCATTATAAAGCTAATCTGTATGTGTTCCGTATTTCTGTACAATAATCACCTAGACCAAAGTAGAGTTTAAACTTGACCAACTACATATTAAAAAAAAACGTGAAATTACATCTAGACAAGTCAGTTAAAAAAAATTCAAGTACAAGCTGCACACAAACTTTTCCACTAATCAGAAAGCCGCGAGGAGCATTATGTAATGCTTCTTGTTCAGTGGCTCCGCCCACTTCCTTTGGGGGAAAAGGTGGTCAGCTATTTTTTAGCTGTCATCTTTGTGTTTTTAGCTGTTAGCCATCATTGCTAAGTAACCAACCGGGTTACTTCTTTTACAAAAGTCTGTGCGCGAATCGCCCGAACTTCACGCTGTGAACAGGAGCAGTTAGACGTCATTTGTAAAGGTAAATTTTTGGCTGACTGAGCGGTACTTTTTGTGCTCGTCCGTCTGTCTGCTCCGCCGTAGCCGTAATGGCGGCTGCAGCTTCGTCAACTCCTCGGCGCTCTACGAAAAGGGAAGGTGTAGTTAGCTTAATGGCTCCTCGTATCGCTGACGTCTTTTGACGCGATAAGTTGCGTGCCAGTGACAGAGTAACATATATTTGCTCACTGGGAAAACTACTCGTCCGTCCGGCAAACCAAATTAACAAAACTTGTCGAGCTTTTTTGCCTTGAAGTTCTTGTTTTGAATGCTTTAAAATATATCCGCTTAACAGGTTAGCTGCCGTGTTAACTCCTAGCTGCTGTGACGTTTAGGTGTAATCAKCTGAAGAATAACGGCTTTCTTTGCAAGTGTTGCACGATTGCTTATAATGACGTTTCACATTTTATTAAAGTGTATATTAATTCAAACAAAACTTTAAAAAAAAGTCCATATTAGCCGCTGGACGCTGAATGTTTCGCAACTCAAGTTAACGTTACTTGGTCCGTCAATGCAACTGAGCGAAAGAGGAAGTCGATTTTTTGTTGTTGTTAACTTTACATCATCATGTGCAAACTTTAATGTTTACTCAATTAAAAAAAAAAATTTTTTTCTATAATTACGATGGAGAAAGAGCTGTGGATGTTATCGGCTGATTAACAAGTGTAGCAGTTTATTAAAGCAGCTTACATGCAGAAACCGCCACGACAGACTTGTTTCATGATCAGAGCCGATTTAAGGTGATAATATTGATTTATTTCTTCCCAGTTACTATGGAAGAAGTACAGCAGGGCAGCAATGGCACTGAGTCACGAGCTGCAACCATTCCCACWTCAATCACATCCTCTCAGTTCTCACAGATAGCACAGCAGGTAAATAATACTTTAGAAATGTCATCAGAATAAGTTTGTGCCACACTAAAGACAGGCAGTGGCTTAGACAGAAATGAGGATTCATTTGAACCTAATTTAAACACAATTTGAAGAAAAAAAAGAAAACTTGAACAATGTTGATCCCCATTATTCAGGTTCTGACCCACTAAACAACAGTGAGTTAGAATAAAAGTTTTACAAAGTTTGTTTGTAAACAAAAAATTTCACTAAGAGCTTGAAAAATCTTTCAAGTGATACCAAAAAATGTTTATATTGGTTTAAATTAAAAAAAAAAATCTGAAGTTCTGCATGAAAATCCTTGAATTTATGCAGAATAATGTATAAAAATACCATAATTTATTTTGTTTTATTAGATATTCCCATAAAACTGTAATCAACATGAACATGCTACCTCTTCAGAGGTAAGGATGAATATGCATCTGTTATTTTTGTATGAATTAACCATTGACCTTTTATTTAGTCATAAGGTTGAGTTTGCTGCAGCATCACAATTGAGATGCACTTTTTTCATGACACCAGATTTTTCTGGGGTTAGAGCAATGTGCTGACGAATCACATCATATACCTAGTTTCAAGTATTTCACAAATAAGATATAAAAATGTTAGATGATGACTAGTATTCTGGGTATATTTTATCTTGTACAACATGTAATGTACAGTCAAGTTACAAAAAACATGAAGCTCCAAAATCAAAAGTGGTATTTAATTGTTAGCCGGAAACAGTCCTCGACTCTCCTGGTAACCACAGGGGTGAGATCATGTGCGGACATTTGCTAAAAAATTATTTTAAGGGATTTAAATTCAAATAAAGCTTTATTCAGTTTTATTCTAACACACACATGGTGAGAAATATGCTTTCTTCTTTTTTAATTCAGTTGGATTTTTTTTCTCTATTTTTATTTTATTTTTTCTAGATGTCATTGAGCGGTTCTTCTGTGGCTGTTGTTCAGCTCCCTGGAGGTCAGTTTCAGGTTCAAGGAGTGATCCAATCTGCACAGCCATCCGTCATTCAGTCCCCTCAGGGGCAGCCTGCACAGGTGAGAACAGATGGYTTCATAGCGCTGTTGATTCTTAATAATATCCTTTTATTCTCTGCCAGTGCAGTCATAAAAAAATTTTATACACCCTATAAAATTACCCTTTTCCAACAGAGATAAACAGTCTTCCATTTTACTATCCTCTAGATGCATGAAAATGTTTTTTTTTATTATTATTATTATTGTTGAGCTCATTATAAAATTAGGATCTTGATAGTTTGGAGGTCTCTGTGTATCAGATCATTTTTAGGTACTACTTTGGGCAATAAAATCTTCCTGCACAAAAACAAATTCAGTATCCAGCTGTGCAGTGATTTATCTAGACAGATTGGTTGAGTTTTGCACCATCTGCAATTCAGACACCTACAGTTTAAACAGTCTTAAAACTCTGCTTGTGTAAACAACTACTCTGAACATTAGACTTAAAATGTGGTTAAACAGATAAATACAACTAATAGCACTTAGAGCCAGACTCAAGCTTTAATTTCATTGACTTGTTTCAGACTTGAAATTTCATGTGAGTAAACAACAGAAGGAATCAATTAAGACTTAAGGCAATTCAAGCTTCATGTGCCGATGTTTTGTTGAATGATGATTTTATTGTAAACAGTGTATATATAACAGTATAAGCTGTACATATTGTACATTATGTCAGACACTGTTCCAACAGAATAATTGTTTTTCCAAGTATGTATAAAAAAAGCCCTGTATGAAGATGGAAGCTATCAATTATTTACATTACTTTATGAACTTGTTCCATTTCTAGCCCCAGGGTTCTGATAGTGAAGATTCACAGGACTCCTCTGATAGTGGATTAACAGCCCAAAAGACAAGAGAAGTACTGGCAAGACGGCCCTCATATAGGTAATGACGTCAWGAAAACTCTGGAAACAAAGTTTTTATTTCATGAATGGTAATTTTGAGCAGTCACCTGACATAATTTGTTATACAGAAAAATCTTAAACGACCTTTCGTCCGAGGAAACATCACACATTGAAGGAAAGGATGGCAGTCCTGCATCTACAGGAGTGACAGGCGTTACAGTACCAACCACCCCAATCTACCAGACAAGCAGTGGACAGTACAGTAAGAACTGTAGCTTTAAATTGTTTTGACAAAAACTTAGGACTGTCACAACAGTGGGATCCAATGATCTTTCAGTTTTCAAGTTTGGATATTAGACAGTTATAAACACAGTAGTTCAAATGTACTGATTTTTATGTCTGTAACTGGGAGGAAATTCAACGATATTATGTATTATGCTTACATTATTGTTTTTGTTACTTAATATGACCTAGACAGCAAGAAAGTAGTTTTTAGTTCTGATTTTATTTTATTTTTTTGATTATGCTAGTTACCATTGCTCCTAATGGCACAATTCAGCTGGCAACACCAGGATCTGAAAGCATTCAGGGACTACAGACCGTCACYATGACCAACTCAAGTGGAGCACAGCAAGGCCCCACCATCCTTCAGTACGCTCAGACGCCTGATGGCCAGCAGATACTGGTGCCTAGCAATCAGGTTGTTGTACAAGGTGAGCACTTCTTAAACTTTACCACTGTTTTATTCTGGTATTCTGTTGCCTTTTTTTCTTTTTGATAAGTGAATGCATTTTGAGCCGTACAAAATGTGTGAGTTTAGATTTGTTAGCCTAATCTGTTCCTGTAAGAAACACTGCAGACTAAAACAAACTCTGACAAAAAGCAAAAATTAAAAACCTTTTTTTTTTT